AAGGTGACAGGTCTGGCAGTGTAGTGAAGGTGACAGGTCTGGCAGTGTAGTGAAGGTGACAGGACTGGCAGTGTAGTGAAGATGACAGGGCTGGCAGTGTAGTGAAGGTGACAGGTCTGGCAGTGTAGTGAAGGTGACAGGTCTGGCAGTGTAGTGAAGGTGACAGGTTTGGCAGTGTAGTGAAGGTGACAGGTCTGGCAGTGTAGTGAAGGTGACAGGGCTGGCAGTGTAGTGAAGGTGACAGGGCTGGCAGTGTAGTGAAGGTGACAGGTTTGGCAGTGTAATGAAGGTGACAGATCTGGCAGTGTAGTGAACGTGATAGGACTGGCAGTGTAGGTGACAGGGGTGGCAGTGAAGGTGACAGGGGTGGCAGTGTAGTGGTGACAGGGGTGGGAAGTGAAGGTGACAGGGGTGGGAGTGAAGGTGACAGGGGTGGGAGTGAAGGTGACAGGGGTGGAGTGAAGGTGACAGGGGTGGAGTGAAGGTGACAGGGGTGGGAGTGAAGGTGACAGGGGTGGCAGTGAAGGTGACAGGGGTGGGAGTGAAGGTGACAGGGGTGGGAGTGAAGGTGACAGGGGTGGGAGTGAAGGTGACAGGGGTGGGAAATGAAGGTGACAGGGGTGGGAGTGAAGGTGACATGGGTGGGAGTGAAGGTGACAGGGGTGGGAGTGAAGGTGACAGGGGTGGGAGTGAAGGTGACAGGGTGGGAGTGAAGGTGACAGGGTTGGGAGTGAAGGTGACAGGGTGGGAGGGGAAGGTGACAGGGTGGCAGTGAAGGTGAACGGTGGCAATGAAGGTGGGCCGGTGGCAGTGAAGATGACAGGGGTGGCAGTGAAGATGACAGGGGTGGCAGTGAAGGTGACAGGGGTGGCAGTGAAGGTGACAGGGGTGGCAGTGAAGGTGACAGGGGAGGCAGTGAAGTGACAGGGGTGGCAGTGAAGGTGACAGGGGTGGCAGTGAAAGTGACAGGGTGGCAGTGAAGGTGACAGGGTGGCAGTGAAGGTGACAGGGGTGGCAGTGAAGGTGACAGGGGTGGGAGTGAAGGTGACAGGGGTGGCAGTGAAGGTGACAGGGGTGGCAGTGAAGGTGACAGGGGTGGCAGTGAAGGTGACAGGGTGGGAGTGAAGGTGACAGGGGTGGAGTGAAGGTGACAGGGTGGAGTGAGTGACAGGGGTGGGAGTGAAGGTGACAGGGGTGAGTGAGTGACAGGGGGGAGTGAAGGTGACAGAGGTGGGAGTGAAGGTGACAGGGGTGGACAGTGAAGGTGACAGGGGTGGCAGTGAAGGTGACAGGGTGCAGTGAGGTGACAGGGTGGGGTGAAGGTGACAGGGGTGGCAGTGAAGGTGACAGGGGTGGGAGTGAAGGTGACAGGGTGGGAGTGAAGGTGACAGGGGTGGCAGTGAAGGTGACAGGGGTGGAGTGAAGGTGACAGGGGTGGAGTGAAGGTGACAGGGGTGGCAGTGAAGGTGACAGGGGTGGGAGTGAAAGGTGACAGGGGTGGGAGTGAAGGTGACAGGGGGTGGAGTGAAGGTGTACAGGGGGGGGTGGGTGACAGGGGGCAGTGAAGGTGACAGAGGGGGCAGTGAAGGTGACAGGTGACGTGAAGGACAGGGTGGCAGTGAAGGTGACAGGGTGGAGTGAGGTGACAGGGGAGTGAAGTGACAGGGGTGGCAGTGAAGGTGACAGGGTGGAGTGAAGGTGACAGGGGGGAGTGAAGGTGACAGGGGTGGCAGTGAAGGTGACAGGGGTGGGAGTGAAGGTGACAGGGTGGGAGTGAAGGTGACTGGGTGGCAGTGAATGTACAGTGGCAGTGAAGGTGACAGGGGTGGGAGTGAAGGTGACAGGGTTGGGAGTGAAGGGTGACAGGGGTGGGAGTGAAGGTGACAGGGGTGGGAGGAAGGTGACAGGGTGGGATGAAGGTGCAGGTGGGAGTGAAGGTGACAGGGGTGGAGTGAAGGTGACAGGGGTGCATGAAGTGACAGGGGTGGCAGTGAAGGTGACAGGGGTGGGAGTGAAGGTGACAGGGTTGGGAGTGAAGGTGACAGGGGTGGGAGTGAAGGTGACAGGGGTGGCAGTGAAGGTGACAGGGGTGGCAGTGAAGGTGACAGGGTGGCAGTGAAGGTGACAGGGGTGGGAGTGAAGGTGACAGGGGTAGTGAAGGTGACAGAGGTGCAGTGAAGGTGACAGGGGTGGAGTGAAGGTGACAGGGGTGGAGTGAAGGTGACAGGGTGGAGTGAAGGTGACAGGGGTGGGAGTGAAGGTGACAGGGGTGGCAGTGAAAGGGGACAGGGGTGGCAGTGAAGATGACAGGGTGGGAGTGAAGTTGACAGGGGTGGCAGTGAAGGTGACAGGGGTGGCAGTGAAGGTGACAGGGTGACAGTGAAGGTGAACAGGGTGGGAGTGAAGGTGACAGGGGTGGCAGTGAAGGTGACAGGGTGGCAGTGAAGGTGACAGGGGAAGTGGGAGTGAAGGTGACAGGAGTGGCAGTGAAGGTGACAGGGGTGGAGTGAAGGTGACAGGGGTGGGAGTGAAGGTGACAGGGGTGACAGTGAAGGTGACAGGGGTGGCAGTGAAGGTGACAGGGGTGACAGTGAAGGTGACAGGGGTGGCAGTGAAGGTGACAGGGGTGGACAGTGAAAGGTGACAGGGGTGACAGTGAAGGTGACAGGGACAGTGAAGTACGGTGACAGTGAAGGTGACAGGGTGACAGTGAAGGTGACAGGGGTGGCAGTGAAGGTGACAGGGGTGACAGTGAAGGTGACAGGGGTGACAGTGAAGGGGGACAGGGGTGCAGTAAAGGGTGACAGGGGTGAAGTGAAGGTGACAGGGTGAACAGTAAAGGTGACAGGGGTGGCAGTGAAGGTGACAGGGGTGGCAGTGAAGGTGACAGGGGTGACAGTGAAGGTGACAGGGGTGGGAGTGAAGGTGACAGGGGTGACAGTGAAGGTGACAGGGGTGGCCACCTTTAAGCTGCTACACACAAAGTTCACATGTGCTCACAACTGGCTTTGTAAACACTTTTTTTATTAACACAAAACAGTGATCGCAGTTCTTTGTTTTATGTTGGTTCAACTAATTTTTGGAAAATTTCAAAGTATTTTTCGTTTTTTTTTTTGTGTCGGCTCATGAAAGGGACAACGAATAGGAGAAAAAAGAGAGAGTTTAGGAATAGTGAGTGAGGAGAGAGACAGAGAGAGAGAGAGAGAGACAGAGAGAGAGAGAGGGGGAGGGACATAGGGTTTTGTATACACAGAACTACTGGATCAAAACACACACACACACACACACACACACATACACACACACACACACACACACACACACACACACACACACACACACACACGCACACACACACACACACACACACACACACACACACACACACACACGGCGTACACTATACACCGTGTATGTCAGGCCGCTATTGGAGTACGCAGCACCAGTTTATAACCCACACCTGGTCCATCACGTCAAGAAATTAGTGAAAGTGCAAAGGTTTGCAACAAGACTAGTCCCGGAGCTAAGAGGTATGTCCTACGAGGAGAGGTTATGGGAACTCAACCTGACAACACTGGAGGACAGGAGGGATGGGGAGAGGGACATGATAACGACATATAAAATACTGAGAGGAATTGACAAGGTGAATAGGGACAAGATGTTTCAGAGATGTGACAGCAACAAGGGTCACAACTGGAACTTGAAGATTCAGGTGAGTCACAGGGATGTTAGGAAATACTTCCTCATAAAGCTGTCAGGAAGTGGAACAGTCTGGAGAGTGATGTAGTGGAGGCAGGATCATGTATTGCTTAAAGAAGAGGTACGATAAAGCTCATTGAGCAGGGAAACAGTGGATATAGTAACGACCCGCGAAGAGTCGGGGCCAGGAGCTATGAATCGACCCCTGTAACTACAAATAGGTGAATACACACACACACAGACACACCATGGTGGGCCAGTACTGACATGCGCTGGATGAGGAAGTGGTCTCTATACACAGCTTCAAGAGTAGTTATGTAATGTCTAAAAGAATGGTAATAACGATTAAAGAAATCTGTGACACTCAACCCCAAGAAACACAACTTAACCCCATGAAACACAACTCAACCCCAAGAAACACAACTTAACCCCAAGAAACACAACTTAACCCCATGAAACACAACTTAACCTACACTCCTCAGCTCTACACACACACACACACACACTTTAAACGTACTATTAGATGAACAAACACACATGTTAAACGTACTACAGTATGAACGTACAAACGTTAGACGTACTACAGGATGAACGTTCACGTTAGACGCACTACAGTATGAACGTACACATGTTAGACGTACTACAGTGTTAACATATATACACATGTTAGACGCACTGCAGTATGAATGTAAACATGTTAGACGCACTACAGTATGAACGTACACATGTTAGACGCACTACAGTATGAACGTACACATGTTAGACGCACTACAGTATGAATGTACACACGTTAGACGTACTACATTGTGAACATACACACATGTTAGACGCACTACAGTATGAACGTACACATGTTAGACGCACTACAGTATGAATGTACACACGTTAGACGTACTACATTGTGAACATACACACGTTAAACGCACTACAGTATTAACGTACACACACACAGAGGTGATATCAAGGCAATATGGGAGGAAGTAGGGACGGGGTATTCAGAGGGTTTTCACCATCATCCCTGGCGTCAGGTGACATTATGTCCATCATCCCTGGCGTCAGGTGACATTATATCCATCATCTCTGGCGTCAGGTGACATTATGTCCATCATCCCTGGCGTCAGGTGACATTATATCCATCATCTCTGGCGTCAGGTGACATTATGTTCATCATCCCTGGCATCAGGTGACATTAAGTCCATCATCCCTGACGTCAGGTGACATTATGTCCATCATCCCTGGCGTCAGGTGACATCATCCCCCTCAGCTCCGTCATTTGATGATATCGTCTCCCTCCATGACAGGTTGAGGGAGCACCATGAAGAAAGAAGACTCGTCCCTTTCCCCGTCCTCGTCCTCGTCATCCTCGCTCTCCTCGTCCTCCTCGTCGACCCTCACAATGTTGGCACGCACAGGTGGTGGCTCTCGGCGGCACCCACTCCCGCCCAGTGACTCCCAGGATCTGGAGGATGACCTCACTCTTACCGAAGGTGCACCCCCGGAGGAAGAGTCTCTGGTAAGATATACTCCTAGGTGTTGTTATTATTATCATTACATTTATGGGTAAGGGCTAAAACCGTAGGGTTTATACAGGAACTGGGTTATCTGAGGTAAACATCAGGGTTGACCCTAGGATTGGGAAGGTAACTCTTGATTCCTGGAGTCAAAAGCTCTTCACCAGCGTAAAGAAATTTGCAATGATGACTACTCAGAGTGGCGGCTTCAGTGACCCTAACAGCAAAATCGTCTCTATGATACCGATGGGTTTAACGCTGCCCCGTTAATATGATGATGATGATGATGATGATGATGATGATAATAATAATAATAATAATAATAATAACAATATTACTGAATAGGCTCGCTATGACGATAACATGAATCATCCGCATCAAGACTATGAACTGCCTCTGTCATTTTAAATCATTCATCGAAATTCAGTCATTTTTAACTCATAAAGCTACTTTGTCTCATACCTTTTTAATCACTATTTTAGCTTAACATACATTGCAAATAGCCTTGGTACCTCTAAAATGTTGTTCTGGACCTTGCCAGTGAAGTATGTGAATGTCTCACGATTTTATTTGTTAAATTCCGACAGTGTTCGTTTGTGTAAAACTTCTGGTAGTTTCCCCGCGCAATGGCGACGTGCATTCTTCACATATTGCACTCGTCTGTAGTTGCTCTTTCTTATGTTTTTCCCATGGCACTTCAATGTTAGCTTTGTTTCCAACAGCCACGGTCTCCGTCGTCAGGTCGGTCGGACCGGCAAATGGTGCGGATGGCAGCGTGTGACCTGGAAACCCTTGATGATACGCCGCAGCCTGGCGGCGTCCCTGCCGTAGAGCAGCGTCCCTCCTGCGGCAGCAGCTGTTGCAGGAGGAGTAGAAGAGAGGTACAAGAGGCGGGGAGGTGGCGAGCGGTAGAAAGTCCTCAGCACCCGACGAACTATAAGAGGGAGACTCTTCCTCGCTTCACCTTCAGCGTCCCTACACAGGGACACCCTGCCCCTGTACACAGTCAGGGACACCCTGCACCCATACATAACCTGGGACACCCTGCTCCTCTACACACTCAGAGGCACCCTGCATCCTTACACAATCACAGACATCCTGCCCCTGTATACACTCCCAGTGAGTGTCACACTACCAGCCAGTGTTACACTCCTAAAGACTGTCACACTCCCACGGGCTGCCTTACTCCCAAGGGGTACCAGAGTCCCAAGGGATGCCAGAGTCCTAAAGAGTGCAGGACTCCTAAGGGATGCCAGAGTCCTATCAGATGCCAGAGTCCCATTAACTACCAGGGATCTAAGGATTTCAGGGACCCCGAAGAATGGCAGGACTCCAAGGGGTGCCGAGGAATCCAGTATGACGTAGCGCCCTACGATCCTCACCCCAGGGCCTTTGTGGATGAATCACAGAGGGAGAAGCAGGAACTACTGACCCCACACCATGCCCTGACGCGGCGCTCATCTTATGGCAGTTCTCTCCAGCTTCCACCTTGGGATCCTCGCTACTCCACAGCTCCTGGTTAGTCTTATGCCAGTACTGTGTTTACCCCTCCACCCCTGCCCTGGAGACTCTAACAGTAGTAGAACAAGAAGATAAAGATGAAACTTGCATGCAATATCATAGTGCCTTTGACATGACCTCATTAGCTAGCATCCATCTGGATTATGTCATGTGATACAGCACAATAATATTGAATTCATGTTTGTTACTTGGTATTTTACTGTCATATACATTTATGCTATTGTTAAAATTTGAGGAAAATAATTATCGCTACTTATAAATAATTACTATTGTGATTATGAGGATTTAAACTGGTTATGTACTGTATATATTTTACATTTACAGCTGGTTTGCCGTTGAGTTCAGTGGCAGGAGCGACAATGGGAGGGTCAGTTGGCAACCTGCTGGTGCTGATGGAAACCCACCTGGCTCTCCAGAACATTGCTAACAACAACAACCTGCAGCTCAACAACAACAACAATAACAACAGTAGTAATCGTTACCCCTTCGGACCGAGGAGGTGTGAGGTTCACAACAGGGACTTTTTGAGTCCTGGTGACCCGTTGTGGTGTGATAATCTTAGCCTACCTCATGCTGCTCGCCTCACACGCTCACACACCAGCCTCCTCACCCCTCCCAGTCCCCCACACATGACCCTCAGCAGGTCATCCCGCTCCCAAGGGGACCTCTTCAGCCTCACCTGCCCCCCACCCATCCCCGCCAAGCGCAAGTGGACCACCATTACAGGCCTTGCTGCTATAGGTGGGTCTCAGCCTCGTCTTGTTCAAACCACTAGTGTGCTCACCTGGTTGTGGTTTCAGGGGTTGAGTCTCAGCTCCTCTGTATGCACAAGGCTGCACTCAATGAATTATGTCTGTGTGGGGGCGCCATTACTAAGCTTCTGACCGTACCTTTAGACTTCAAATATTGTCGACGTCAGCTGCAGATTTGAAAACCTTATTTTCTCCATCACTGACAGTGCTAGTGATAGCTTCACCTCTTTTATCTTCAAAGTCAGAGTCAAGTACGCGGAAAAATCGTAATGAACAACTGTAATTAAATACAGCTGTCTAA